TTGTTGTTGTTGTTGTTGTTTTGGTTTCTTGAGACAAGGTCTTACTATGTAATTGAGACTGACCTGGAACTCACTATGTAGCCCAGGCTGGTCTCCAACTCAAAGTGATCCTCCTGCCTCAGCCTCCTGAATGCTGAGATTACAGGTGTGCACCACCATGCTCAGCAAAGTAACACTTAAATTTCAAATTAGTGTCACTAACAGGACCACCCTCAGTTCTCCGGAGTTGGCACAAAGTCCATACAAAGCATAGCAGCAGCATGGCAAAACCTAGTGACAACAATTGCACAGCCATTCAATGAGGATAACTTTCCAGTCCAGGGCTTTGCACACAGAAGAGTCCATAAATGGTGTCCTCAGGCCAGGGATTTAGCTCTGTGGTTCCACTGCCTGCCTCATAAATGGTGTCCTCTAATATGGTCCACTTGGTAGGTTAATGACTAATCAAATATATGTACTTTTTTTAAACCCTTGAAAGCTAAGAGGATTTTGCGTGAAAACCAGTAGAGCATTTGATGTGGGACACACTGGAGAATGCCAATCTGTCCCTTACTTGGAGGGCTCAAATCCCACTGGTGGAAACCATTGCATTATTTTCAAGGTACATCAGAGCATCTTACAAGTAACTGGCCAGGTGGCTAGGTAGTGTCCTCATCAGGTGAAGGATTTCTTCTAGTTCATAGATAATGACCAGAGGACTAGCTGCTATCACACACCCCAGATATCATGCCAGGTTTTTTGTTGCTGTTACTGGTGGTAGTGCTGAGAATGGAGCCCAGGGCCTTACACTTGCTAAACATATGCTATACCACTGAGCTACGTGCCAGCAATGTCAGAATTTTTATTCATCACATTGGCATCCTCACTTTTAGGCTCATTTTACAGATGAGAAGTCTGAGGCTCAGCAAGATTACAAAAGGGGGCTTTAGCCTCCATCTGCCTAATGCTATGGCCCAAGTGCCCACGGGTGCTCCCTGAGCTAATGTGTTTTAAATCGTGCATAGTTATAGACGTACCATCAGCCCCAATTTTCCCATCTCCATCATTATCTGCAGCGGCCATCAAAGACTTGGTTTCTGATTCGGTGAGTTCTCTAGCACCACTCTCAAACTTCTGGAGGAAAAACCTACAGGATAATAAAGATTGATGGGAATTTTCTAAAAGACCACACAACCCTGTTTTCCTTCCTTCCTCCCTTCTCTTTAAGCCCACCACTCTTTCCAGTAGTCATAATAATCAGTCAAGATCTTAGCAAGCAAAGATTTCCTGTGCTATAGAAATCAATGGCAGACATTTATTTTTAAGAGGAGTTTTGTTAAGTCCGTTTGCCAAAGGAAATCTCTTAAGCTAAGGACGCTGCACTTGTCTGCAGCACCATGTTTGGTGCTTTGTGTGGGGAGAAATGCGGTCCACTGACTCCATTCCTTGCTGCCACTGAACAGCCCGAAGAACACTGGGCCCCTGCACCCCCAGAAGCCTAGCAATGTTGGGGTGGCCTGGGACGAAGCTTACTTAAGCTCTTCTTCATCCAGGTATCCACTCTGGTCATTGTCTATGAACCGGAAGACATCCTTCACCTGACTGGCTGACATCTTGGAGAGGCCTGATGTTTGGAAGAATTTTTGGGGTTCAAAAGTATCTGGATCTAAAGAATAGAGAATGGGTTGGTTATTCTGATGCTCCTCGGGGCACATTCTATATTTGGGCCACAGCGCTGAAAACAAAGATTATTAAAATGACTTTCATAATATCCTTGAGGTACCAGCATGCTCAACTAGTCCAAGACTTTGAGGTGGCCGAGATGGGTGACTCTGGGATGCCATCTCTGGTTCTCACTGCCCCAGCTGTTTCTCTCCACTGGATTTTGCCCATCCCTGCTTCTCTCTCCTCTGTCTCTCTCTGCACCCAAACAGGCTGTGCATCCGAGCTCTCAACATTGCTGGTCTTAATTGGTGGAGGAAATGCAATCACTGGATTCAAACAAGCTTAATTCACTTTACTCCCACTTTCCTATGTTTCTTTCATCTTACAGTAATGTGACCACGTGCTGAGATCTCATAGTTCCATCACTGTAGCTATCTAATTCTAGCAGTTTCATCCTCTGATTCTGCGGATCATTCAGTAAAGCTCACATGCTCACTCCTATTGCTTCACTGGAGGTGGGAATGCAGGAGGAAACCCCACACCTGTCCCACATTCCCTTTACCTTGGCATTCCTGCAGGGCAGCTGCAATGTCATCAGCACTAAGCACGTCTGTGATGCTCATCTTTTACCTAATCACACAGAATAAAGAGATGTGACAAATGGCAAACAGGAATGCACCCATCCGGGGTATACACGGCCCATGCTCACTCAACCTGTATTACTTATCTATCCCCTCCCTCCTTTCTTTTTTGGTGCTGCAGATTGAACACAGGACCTTCTGCATGCCAACACGTACACTCCCACTGAGCCATATCCCAGCCCCTATCTAGACATTTTTTTAACATAATAAGCACTTGTGTAAAGCAATGGAGTAGGACATCCAAACAATAACTAGACACAGGGAAAATCCAAGCCTCTTCAGCTCACTGCCTTCTCCTGAATAGATTCCAAAGATGACATTTTAAAACACAGCCCAAAGAACGACCTGATTCAGTTTTCGTATAAAAATCATGTGCACTTAATCATTTCTTACATAGACAGCTACAAACCCCTCAAAAATAAACCATGTAATGTTTATAATAGCATTTTCATACATCAGCTAGAGAAGGTTGCACATTCCATGTGGGAAAGGAGACAGCTTGAGATGCTGCTGAGCTCTGTGGAAGCCACACTGTGTCCTAAAGGGTGGGACTCGGATGAAGGAAAGCCACCAGAGATCAGAGTCCCAGGTATAAAGCCATAGGAAGAGAGAAATCTGAGCTTAACATGCACAACCCTGCCATGAATGCTTGGAGGGAAGAAGGCCTTGGGGTCTGTCAAGGCCCACCAGCTACTTACCCTTTTAGATTTTTTCCCCCAAGAAGAGTCAGGGGAAAAACCAGAGTTGAAGGAGCCGAACACAGGTGCACTTTTGCTACCTTACTGACCTACCTTATATAGGATTGAAAAAGTGATAGTTACAACCTCTTATATTTCCTTTTCAGGGATCAAGTGGATGTGGATTGGATGTCTTACCTTACTAATTAAACTTTTTTCTTCTATTTATAGCTCAAGGAACTGTGGGTGGGAATGGCCAATTTTAAAACAAACCTCAACAAACCTTAACTAAGGTTTCAATTCTGCAAACGAACCCCGTTGGCAAAGAGTGGAGGAGATACTGGAGGCCTGGTGAGGAGAAGGAGGCAGAGGCTAAAAGGAGATCATTACACATAGGGGTGCTCTGTAAATTAAAAATGCTCCCCAGATGTTAGTGGCTGCTGTTGAGGCAGGTCTGTTTTCAGCTGCTAACATTGTGGGTGTTTGAGGTCGCAGGGTCTTGGGATGGTAGCAGGTGGGAGATGTGTGGATCTTCTTTTCATGGCTGTGTATGCCTTTCAGCACTGCCTTCCAGGCCTTCAAAGCCATCCCTGATCATGATATATAACCAGAAGTACAACAGTATACAGTTTACCAATAACGTCATTGTATCATTTAATTATTGCAACAGCTCTGTCAAGTTTCATTATTCCCATGAGAAACAGGGAGGTTGACAGATACTCCAGTGGCTAGAGCTGTAGCTCAGTGTTACAGTGCTTGCTTAGCATGCACAAGGCCATGGGTTTGATACCCGTACCAGGGGGAAAAAAAGACTAAAGGAGAGAGACAGTGACAGCGAGAGCAATACTTCAGATCAAATAGCTACCTGCGTGGTAGAGCCACAACTCATCCTTGGAGTTTTCCTAGATGCCAAATAAAAAATTGCCAAGATGTTAGGCTCCTGTATTCCTATAAGCCCTTATTGGACTTAGAAAGCTAAAAGAGGACAAGTTTGCTATACCATTTCTGCACAAAGAACAATAAACAGACTTTCTGACGGAACCATCCCCCCCATCCACCAAACACATGGGCCTTTGGCAGACATTTAAGGTCCAAATTGCAATACTCTCTCTCTGAGTTAAATAATTTTGAGAGTATTAGTAAAAGCACAACACCTGCACATTTTATACAAGCAAAAACAGAAATAGAAAAAGAATGAAAAGAGAAAACATAATAGGAAATGGAAAACAAAAAATGGAGAAGAATAACCACACACAGCCTGTCACTAGAAATGACTGATGCAGCCAGGCATTGTGGTGCAGTTCTATAATCCCAGAATGCTGAGAGGCTGAGGCGAAGAATTGCAAGTTTGAGTTCAACCTGGGCAACTTTGCAAGACTCTGTCTCAAAATAAAAAACAAACAAACAAAAGGGCTGGGATGTAGCTCAGTGTGGAGACATTGGGGTCAGTCCTCTGTTCCTCAAAAAAAATTATGCTAAACTTGCAGTGTATTTCCTTGCAGATATATTCATTTTTAAAAAATATTTAAAACAATGAAATTGGATCATAATCTTACTAGCTTGATTTGTCACTTAACATATTATGAACCTTTTCCCTTGTCAGTAAGTATAAATCTATATACAGTATTGTGATTTTTAACTACTATGTATAATTCTCTTGTGTAGGGGGTAGAAGTGGTATAACTCATGTCATCAATCGCGCATTATTGGACATCTAAATTGTTTTTGTATTTTCATTACTACAGTGAGTAGTAGGAAGAACATCCCTATAGCTAAAATCTTCAGGTCCAGCCTTGGCTATTATATTTTGGGTATGAATGTGCCACAAGTGTCTGTTAATATTTGTCAATTCAACCAATACTTAGTGAATATCAGAGACTGTGCTAGATGCTGTGTTTAAAACAATGAGCAATAAATTGTCTGGTTAGTTTAATCTGATATCACATTCAATGGTTGATGTGAATGGCAGAATTTCTACAATGTCCCACCACATCCTACATCCTGAACCCAGATTGGTGATTGTTAAAAAAAAAAAAAAAAAAGCAAAAATAGACTCACACTAATCATGAATAAATGTATAGTGAGAAATTACTTGTGGGAGCTTTTTCGCCATGTGGAGGATTTGCATTTTAGTCATTAGGTCAAAAAAGGTCCACTGCTGAGGCAGGTGGATCACTGTGAGTTCAAGACCAGCCTGATCTACATAGTGAGTTCCAGGTCAGTCTCAACTATATAGTGAGACCCTGTCTCAAAAAACCAAATAAAATTAAAAAAATGTCCACTGGAAGATTCTAAGTAGGGGACTAGATTTGCATTTTCAAAAGGCCCTTGGACTGTGTTATGGTTGAGATCTAAAATGTCCCCCCAAATTCTCTTGGGTGTGGAGGGTGTTTGGATCACAGGGGCATTGTACTCATCAGCGGGTTCATCGGTTCGGAGTTCACAGCTGCATACGCTGTTAGGAGGTGGAGCCTGGTTGGAGGTGGACACTGGAGTCATGACCCAGAAGGTTGTGTTCTTGTTCCCAGCTCCTCCCTTCTCTCTGCTTCCTGACTGCCATGACATGGACAGCTTTCCTCCACTATGTCCCTCTGCCTTGGGAGCAGACAGAGCCAAATAAACTTCTCTTCCTTTAAATTGTGGGTATGGGTGTTCCATTCTCTTAAAGGTGCCCTCACCTCACTGAAGACCAAACCTCCAGGGCCACTGGCTGAGGAAGATGAGCCCAAACCAAAGACAGAGAGCCACCAGGAAGGGTGACAAATCGAGGAGAATGCTATACACATCACTTAGTGTTGTAGGCTGAATTGTGTCTCCCCTGAATTCTGAAGTTGAAATCCTAACCTCCAGTACCTCAAAATGTAACTGCACTTGGAGACAGCACCTTGAAAAAGATCATTAAATTAAATGAGACCCTCAAGGTGTGCCCTAATCCAATCCAAATGGTGTGTTCAAAACAAGAGGAAACTCAGCCAGCCATGGTGGTACACACCTGTAATCTCAGGACTCGGGAGGCTGACGCAGTAGGATCTCCAATTTGAGGCCTGCCTGGGCAATTTAGCAAGAACATATATCAAAAAAATTAAAAAAGGGGCCAGGGATTTAGCTTAGTGATTCTGCTGCCTGCCTTGCAAGCGCAAGGACCAGAGTTCGATCCTTGGTACCAAAATAAGTAAATAAATAAAATTAAAAAGGGGCCTGGTGATACAGTTTTGTGTGAAGACACTGGATTCAACCCCCCAGGACTGGAAGAAAAGAGGGAACTGGGGCTGAGTGTGGTGATGTACACCTGTAATCCCAGCTACTAAGGAGGCTGAAGCAAGAGGGCTGCACATGTGGGGCCAGTCTGGGAAACCTAGCTCCTGTCTCAACATTTTTTTTTTTTTTCTGGTACCGGGGATCTGGTCCCTCTGCCTTGGAGCTGACAGGAGTTCTGGATCGAACGCTGGACCTTGCGCTTCAGAGGCAGGTGGCAGGACCACTGAGCTAAATCCCTGACCTGTCTCAAAAAAGAATGAATGAATGAATGAATGAGAAATAAGCAAGCAAGCAGGCTGGAGCACACCAAGAGACACCAGGGACACACGTGCACAGAAGAAAGGCCACGTGAGGACACAGCAAGAAGGAGGCCACCTGTAAGCCAAGGAGAGAGGACTCAGGAGAAAGCGACCCTGTTGACCCCTGCATCTTGGATTTCCAGCCTTCAGAACTATGAGGCAATAAATGTGTGTTGTTTAATCCATCCGACTGGAACTTTGTTTTGGCAGTCCTAGGAAACAAACACACTCAGAGAATAAATAGCTGTCCTTACAACAGGCAGGGGGGACGTCCCAGACCCCATGGCTATATCGAGGGGCCGGTGCATCACAAGCACAAGCAGAAATGGATCAAAGAATACTCAGCCCTCCATCACCTGAGACCAGAATCACATCTGCTCTCATGGTTAACACTGCCCATGCCCCAGGGAGAAGATTCTTTACATCTCTTGCTCTATGTCCTTAAAATAGCGGATGACCATGTCCCATACCAGAGGGATTTGTAGGTTGTGCCATTCCTGACCCATGCCATTTTCTCTCAGAAACATGGAATACAATAGATTCTTGTATCACGAAGTAGCACTTTTGAGTAGCGCTGGATGTCCACTTCTCCCCTTCTTTTGGTGTTTTAATTTATAGTTCCAGAGGCACCCAAAGATTAGTGTGGTATTTTGCAGAACAACATGCGATGGCTTGAATGGTGTAAGTTGTCCCCCAAATCCTCATGTACTCCTAAGAGCGGCTTCTGGAAAGTGATTAGATTATGGGACTTACAG